CGATAGGGCGAGCGAGCAAGCGAGAGACCAGTGTCACTGTGTGTGTGTGTGTGTGTGTGTATTTGTGTATGTAATCATAGTTGAAATGCAATTTTTCTTGCGTTCCACAGAAAATACACAGAGGGAAGCGAAAGCGAAGCGGTTTCTTTTTCTTATCGTCGTTAGCTGGCTCTCTGACTTCACGTTTCTCTCTTCACTCCCTCGCTCGCCCGCTTGCTATTGTATCAGCGCTACAGTGTTTTTATTGTAGCTGCTGCTGCCACTTCGGGTACGACATATACATTGCATGTGCTGGTCGGTTGGTCGCCCGATTGGTCTTAATGTTGCCTCTCGCAGAGAAAAGAATTTCTCGTTTCGATTCAGCTTTCGTATTTCCGTTCCGTATATATACTGCTGCTGCTGCGGCCGCTATTGTTGTTGCTGTTAAGCGAAAGCGAGTGGTGGTAGTAGCGGTACGGAGCGAGCAGAGTGGTAGGAGAGAGATATATGTGTGTGTGTGTATTTGTGTGGTAAGAAGGGCATTTTATATTTGCAACCGGGGGTAAAAAGACATCGTTAAAAACGGCATTTTTCTCCCTTATTTTCTCTCTGTCATTCCATCTCGCTTTCGGCCACAGCACTTTGCTTCGCTACAAACTCTTTTATTTATTTATTTGTTTTTTTTTATTTCTCTGTCGGGCTGTGCGAGCGCGCCGATTTCTTTTCGCCGCTTGCTTTTTTTCCACTTCGTTGTCGTTCGTTCGTTCGTGCACATTTTTAATTCTTTTTCGGTTCGCCTTTTATCGTATTTCTAACATCGTTCTCTCTGTCTCTTGCTCTTTCCGTCCCGACGCGCGCTCTGTGTATTTGTGCGCGAACGTTGTCTTCGGCTTTCTTTGGAGCGCAGAAGAGTATCATAAAAATTATTATTTACAGGGAGAGAAAAAAAAACACGCACACACCGAATTGCGCTCACAAACATTCACAGGACTTTCTCGCTCTCTATCTCTCTTGCTCTCTGTTCTGGCTTTGCTCTTTCTCCTCGTCGTCGCTTCCATACTTTTGTTGCAGCTGGTTGAATGGGTTGCTTAGTGAAAACGGCCACCGATTCCGAAAGCGTTCTCTCACTGAATCGTCGTCGTCATCATCGTACGTCTTCTTCGTCGTCGTCGTCGTCGTATCATACGCTTTTGATAATTGTGTGCGATTGTGCCTGTTTTTCATTGCATTTCATTTCTTTGTGTATTTTTCGGATCTCTCGAAGTGCAGCGAACGAAAGCAGCGTTGCTGTTGCTGCTTCTCTCTTTCTGTGTGTGTTCGTTGCCATAGCCCGAGTGAAGCGACGACGTTTTTTCCTCGACTCAAAATTAATGACTCTTTTTTTATTCTATCCAACTCCGGTTGCTCATGCACACACACACACATACACACATTGATATATACATATAATTATATACAACCCGAGGAAAAAAGCAAAAGCAGAAGAAATTTTTCGTGCTGCGGAGTGAGCAGCAGCAAACCAACTCTCACCGAATCACACGACGACGTCGACGACGATGGTATAGAGAGAATGAGTAGAGAAAAAATAGAGAAGTGTATCTAAAGAATAAGTTGAATTTCGTTGAATAAATTTAACAGAAGGGTTAACGCTGCCATCCTGAAAGGACGTATCGAGTTTTCCGAAATAGAAAAAGTTTTTCAGTCGTTGAATCACTACCTACTAAGAAGCACATTCGAATTAAGACTGTCGAATGAGAAACGACGACACTTCACGACGTGCGCTCTCTAACTCTCTTCGCATTCGTTTCTTATTGGATCTATCAAATTATAATAATTTTGGATTTTTTTCGACTCGCGGTTTGATTCCAATTCGATTTTTGAATTTCTAACAAGACACGACGATAAATTCAAAGAACCAATTTTTTTTCTTGCGGTACAAAACTTCCAGTGTTACGATCTGACCGTTTTTTTTCTTGTTTCTTCGATCAAAGTGAATATTAAGTACAAATTTATGAATCTGAATATTTTTTCTAGTGAATTAGACATTTTTTTTTGGTGTATGACGAAATATTTAATGAAAATTGTTGAATCGAAAACAATTTTGAAAGAAAAAAAAATACCCAAGAATAAAATAAGACAAATTTTTTCAAACACTTTCTTATGTCAAGAAATTGTGAAATAAAAAAGTTGAATGAAGACATTTTTAGAACAAAAAGCGATTTGTGATTATTTTCTCCGTTAAAATGTTAAAACGGTGTAATTAGTTGAATAGTTTGAATAAAAATAAACTCGTCGGCAAATAACTGAATTTTTGGCCAAGACAAAACAAAGCGAACGGCGATATATTTTTAAATTTGAAAACAATCAAAGTTGAAAATTGAGTGAACATTGAAATCGATTAAAAAATCGAACATTTTTCATTGCGAAAAAGAATTAAAAGTCCATAAAATGTCAAGTGAATTTTCAAACTGATTTTTTTTCTGCGCTCACCAAGAATGACATTCAGTGACTCTGCCGATAAAACAGTTGAACGGTTATTAGACAGTTAGAAAGGCGAGTGTGCGGGAAGGAAGAAAGGAGCGCGCGTGGGGGCTGAGACCGTTTGTGTGTGTATACGCGCGCGAGAACGATCGATTTGCAGTTAAACGATTGATAATCACATAACAGCCATCCACACAGTCCCATAGCCGGCGAAAGCAAAGATGACGGTCGACAACGAGGACACGGCATTCGACGATGAAAATGTAAATTTGTCTATCTGCATTTTTGTGATAAGTTTAATGTCAAAATCAAATGCAATAATTGAGTTAGCCATTCACAATTCATGCATAATGCATTTTCGGGGGAGCAAAACCCATGCGTGTGTTTGGTATCCATGTGTGTGTGTGTGTGTGTGTGAGTGAGTGAGTGTTTCTGAATGGTGTTTGGATTAAATTGCAGCGTAATCGGCTGTGCATTTGCATTATAACCAATTTTATTGAAATTATGTTGATATTATCGAATATAGAATGAATTTTAGAAACAACAATAACATCACTCACTACTGCACCGCACGTTAAATGTTAACATGCTCACTGCATTCGATTTCATGTATTGTGCAATTAGTTTTCTTCGCTGTTCGAAGCGAAAAGCGTTTTTTTTTCGGATATTGTAAGGGCGGAGCTAAAATTAATCATTGACCAATTTTTGCTAATTTTGATTTTACATCCGCAATTTTATGTTGAAATCTAATTTACAAGTGATTTTCTTTTAATCATATCTAAGCACAAATATTTTTAATCCATTATTATTAACAATTGTTTTGATTTTATTTTCAATTTGATTTTATTAAATTTCACATTCACCCAAAAACACAACACACAATTTTGTTTTATTCTTAGTTTTTTATTTATCATTTTCAGTTGTTTGGCGTTCATTCGATGGTTTTCTTTTCTTTCTTCCTTTTTCTTCTGTTTTCTGGCTTATGATTTTTCGTATTTTGGTTTCTTTTATTTTATTCTCTGTGTCGGGTTGATTGACGGGGTCGATTAATGCACATGCACTTTTAGCGGAAGGTGGTTAATCCATTGTGACCATTTTAAGATTAAAAACACGCAAGTAGAAGACACCTTATTGAATAATACACACACAATTTAATTACGGTAATCAAGAGCGTGTCACTTTTTATGTCGAAGCGTTTGAAAAGTTCACATTTAGATTGGTGTTTGCCGACGGCATTCTCGCTCCATCATATGATACCAAACCAAGCGCTTCCACGAACATTTTCGGGACATTTCGTATGGTGAGCAAGATTGAAACATGAGTTTGGCATTTAGTTTTTTTTTGCTGTGAATCTGTGGATTTTCATTAGGATTACATTTTTGCAGGCAAAATGTGTGATTCCTAGGAAAAATTCAATTTCAAGCATAAAATGAAATTAGCTGTGAAAATAGGATATTTTAAGTTGTGAATTAGTTGAAAAAAAAGTCGATTTAAGGTTGAAAATATTTTGGTTTGAACTTTAAATTTCAAACCAAATTGACTTCAAGTTTCTGCGCGTGAGTGGAAAAAAAGAAGTTTTTTTACAAATTCTTCAAATTTAGATATTGACTATCATCATAAAACTTCAACTATCTATCTAAGTGGTGATAGACTATCACATTTGACTCGTTGAAGAATAAAAGATTATTAGTCTACTTATAAGTAAAGATTAGAAAAATCCAAGGAAAATTGTCTTTTTGTGAAAAGTTTCAAACGTCGAAAAAGTCCATTGAACTACATTGGGTTTTGGGAATAGTTAAACCAATTTATTGAACACGGAATATGTTGTGCCAATAATTGAGAGGCCAATCTATGGATTGAGTTAATAATTGACTCATTATTTGGCTCTGTCCATTGATTGACTCTGTCTGGCAGTGTTTCAAAATGAAATTCGGGCAGTATTTAATGGAGAGAAAAAAAATAAGTTGAATGAAATGTCAACCAATTTGAACATCGAGAATCAACGCAACTTCAGCTGATGTTGTTTGTCTAATCGCTGCTTTATCATTTGCAATTATTCGTCTTGTTTTTTATTCCTTTCTGAATTTCAACCAATTTGCCCATTAATTTCTTTCCTTTTAATTGCGAAAACATTTTGATTTTCCTTAGAATTTTGATTCAATTTTCTGATTTTATTTGAAGAATTGATAATTTATGATTCTTAATTTTACTTCATTTTTCCCTATAAGAATGCATTTTTTCCATTCAAATCGATTTTTCTATCTATTCTACTTATTTCAATTTAATTTCTCCCACGTTCAAAGTTGAAATTTTTCATTTGACCAACAAAAACCTCTTCATTTTGATTTTGGTAAAAAGCCATTCCATCTAATAACCGTTTCATGTAAGCCAATATGTTTCTTTTTCTCTTTTTTTTTATTTGCTTCAAAAATGCGCGCGCGACAAACAAAATCACAATCGGAACTGAACGTGAACGAAAAAAATCAATAAAAAAATTCAATCCAATCTGTCAATTGAACATGTGAATTGAATGTGTGCAGTTGCAGTTATCAAGGCCAAATAGTGCAGCTGCAGCAGCAATTAGCGAACGTACGCTAGAAGAATGCTGGTCAACCCTTCAACGAGTGAGTTGGCATCTCTTCCGTTGTGTATAGTACTCTTCCACACGACTTTTGAAATCAAAAATAAACCGAAGATAGAAAAAAAAAGTCTTTAGTTCGTTTTCAGTTCATTTCAAATCACATTTTCCGTTGAAATTTCCTTTTTTTTGAACATCTTTTGGGTTCGATTTCATTTATACGTCATTGGTTTGAAATGTGGAAAATGTTGTTGACTTTTTTGGAGTTGTGTGCGTGTGGTTTGACCATTTTTATCATTTGGTAGTATTATCGATCAGAAATCTGAAAAATGAGTAATAAGATGTTGAAAATGACATGATTTTATTGAAAAAATGGGGAAATTTCTCAAATTTCACGGACTCCGATGATAAGAAACGCGTAAGTATTTGTTTTTAAGATATTAACAAGTAACTAAAATAAAAGAAAAATCTTAAAAGTGTTTTGATTGGCTCAAGCCGCTCAGGTCGATGGCTTATTAGATGAAACGTTCCTAATCTGGGCCAGTAAATTAAACTTGGGCAATAAGGAAATGCGGAAATTAACTCCCAACGAAAGATTTGTGAAAAAGTAACGAAAATAAAACGCAGATTTATTGCGTTAGACGTCGAAAAATCAAGGCGGTGCCTAAAAAAAATGGCTATAAAAGAAAGAAAATCAAAGGCGATGAAGTTTAATTACCTTATTGTGTGCGAGGGTACAATGAATGAGCTCGAATCGGAAAACGGGAATCATTGAATGGGCACGAAATTGGCTCGCGGCAATGAAATGAGCGGAAATCCACGGCTCGCGTTAAATGTGTCACCATACGTCACGTACACCATTGAAATGAGCATAAGTAACGCTCGCAGACTCTAAACCCGCTTCTTTCTTCCTCTTTCACTTTCTCTCACTCTCTCTCTCTCTCTCTCTGTCCTTCTCTGACAACGAAAAAAGCAGATTACATTGAAACCGCCGTTGAATTTTTCAACCGCGTCGAGCGACCATTTGGTTTTGCTCATCACATAATGAACAGATCAAGACTTATCCCTTTTTTCTTTGTTCTATATTCGTAAACAAAAAGACGATGCGCAAGCCGAAAAAATTCTTACTAAAATGAAATGCCAATAAAGCGACTTCTTTTCGCCGCAATTATGCCCGTGAGTTAAGCGTTGTGTTATTTTAATTCGATAAAGGGATTTCATCGGAAAACGATTAAATGACGCGCATCCTGAGTAGAGCAAAAAAAAAAGTTTTCACAAAGAAACATGATTGGAATTCGAACAGGAACTCAAGAAAAGACCAGAGATTATAGTCTTTGGTTCTCAAAAGGGAACCGAAAAAACCTGTATTTCAACTCAATAATCACAACACCGAGTTCATTTCGATCCGACTATAGCAGAAAAAAACTCAAACTAATGAGAAAAAACGCTTCCTTAAAATCATATTTCGCTACAATTACTTTGTGTAATTATGAAAAAACGCCCGAAATCTTCGTTCAACATAATTCGTATAACCTGAATGCGTATTCAAATCTACGCTTCAACCGAAGAAGTGAAAGAACATTCTCATTCTGATTCGGTTGTGTTTCCTCAAGATGAGACAGCTCACGCTTTTGTTTGTTCCTGTTCGAGATTTATGTTAGCGATACGCGCGATACGCAACCCTTCAACATGTAAGTTTCCCTGTAAGACATTACCTCCAAAAAACATAGAGAACGGTTGGGGCAACTTTGTACGTACGTGTCAAGAAAAAAAGACACACATGGAGTGTGATGTGCGCCTCATTCAACGGCGCAACGAATTCCGAAATGAAATTTAAGAAGATGATTGATGACATTCACTAAACTGTACCAGTTGTTATTTATAGTGATGTTTTGCTTACCTTTTCGATTCGAACGAAAACAGAACAGATTTTTTTTTCTGCTGCCAAGAGGTCTCAGTTGCCAAGCGGTTAAAAGAAGAAATGTTTTTTTCAATCACTTCCATTCAAAATGCAATTATTTTTTTTTAGTATATTAGATTATAGTTTCCTCTTTTCGAAACTTACTTTTGAAAAGAGTTGCATCACTTTTGTAAAAAAAAAAAATGAAGAAGAAGTGATGGGCACGTAATGAACAAGCGCGTTTGTGGTATATGAAGAACAAAAATCAACTAGAAGCAAAATTCACGTCCCGAACGCCTTACACTTCAAATTCATCTCATCTTGAATCCACTTACACGGCTCTGATAATGCTTCGAACTTTACACCACACACCGAAGACCTGCTTAGAATTCGTAATGCACATAAGTGGAGTAGCGTTTCGTGAAAAAGTGTGAAAACACCCATTGAAGACGCCGAAAGGTTAAAAAGTTGTCTTAAAGAATCGCCCTTACATTGTTTCGTGTATCGTGTATCGTGTTCATGCGTGTGTGCCGTGTTGTTTGTTCTGTCTTCAGTTGTTCTTTCTTCTACTTTTCCTCTGGCGCTGCACGGTGAAAAAGTTGCACCACGATATGAAACAGAGATAAAATAGGATTTTTGCGCAAGGAGCGATTCCAACATGTGCGCGTGGCAAACGAATGAGAATATTCTTTAGCAAGACCAATAGTGGCGATTGAAAAATAGTAACGTGTGTTTTTTTTCCACTTTCATTTTAATAAAGCTGTGGTGTTTGGCTGGAGGCGCGCACACATATACACACTCACACACATTCTTTCCATGTCCGTGCTACCGATAACTGGCTGGACACGGTCTTGATGTTGCTCCATTGGCGTGCGCCCTTTGCCATGTGCTTTCTCTGCATAGTTTTATGTATGAGCGATGTACATTTTTTCCATGTTATGAATTTGTGGAGAGAAGAAAAAATCCGATTTCTCTCTCGCTCTTTCCCCATTTTGAGATGCAGAGCAAGTGGAGCGCTTGGTGGATACATGAAGAAGGATCTCATGGTCTATAGAGAATTCTTTACCTTAGATGGGAAAATTAATGAGATTAGAATCAAGTGGAGAAATGGAAATGGAAAAGAAAAAGTTGTTCAAAGAAACCTTCTGAAATTTACTTCCAAACAAGTTAAAATGCATCAGAAAGTGTTGGACTAAAAGGCATTTTATTTTTTGGACAAAAAAAAATTCATTCCCATTAAATATGATGATACAATCAAATCAAAAGCATTTTTTTTCACCTGAAATTGTCCTTTCCGTAGACCGCTCTAGCATCGTGTTCGCCAATTCGATGTAGCAAATGTACCCGAATGCATTTTTCCGATGGAGATTATTGTCGAACATGGCCGAGTGTCTCCGAGTGTTGCGAGCTCTGCACCAATTTTTTCTTTGCTTTCGTCCACATTCCCGGCTAGAGCCACAATGATTTCTTTCCAACTGGCTGCTTTATGTTGTTGAGGCGCACAACCGAAGGTAGTTGTGCGCCAGCAAGCCTCAGAAGTGCACTTGGCATTCACGGACAACAGCTATATTATGCACTCTCTCGCCCGTCGTGCTTTTTTTTCGAGAGCTCTGTAAAAATGTGGATGGATATTATGTACCCGTGCGAACCGTACGGGCGTGTTGTTTATTTGCCTACATACTCAAGCGCGCGCGTCCTCTCTGTTTTCTCCCTTTCTCTCTGTCTCTATCTCTCTTTCGTTCTTTTTCGCATTCTCCGGGAATGAAGAAAATGCACAAAATGATTACGAAACAAAAGCAAAAAAAAAATTGCGACACGAATGGATGAATAGATTGGAGGAACAACAGAAAAAAAATTGGAATAAATAAATGAAGAAAATAACCAACCAAAAACTACACGGGGCTACATGCAACACACATATATATAAGTCGTCCTGAACATGCCCAGCTCACAACCGAACGCGAATCATCGTAGATAAATGGTCTGGCTGTTTTTTTTTCGCTTGGCACCAAACGAACGCCAAACATCGCATTCGAAAGCAGGGATATGCGCATTCACGCTGCTTACAGTTACTGCCTTTATTTCATTGTCGTTCGTTGTTACTCGTTTTTTCTTTCTTTCTTGCTGGCTTTTGTTTTCGACGAGCATATTCATTCCATTCGCATTTTTCGAGCATTTCAAACTTAACGTTGCAATGTACACACTCTTTTCCACCAATTTCAAAGGACCTTGGCACTCACAAATATATACAGAAAAAAAAACATCAACCGACGATTTTTATTCGCTAGATCTTTATCACGGGATAATTTCATTATAAAGCCATTCTCATGCAATAACGCTATCTATGGCAAACCATCCACAAAATTCCATAATGAATTTCGAGCAAACGAGAATAAACACATTTTCGAGTTCTAAGTCATGGCATAAACCGGAATTCTTTCGCATTTTGGTTTTATTTTGGATGGATTTTTTAAAAGTTTTTAATCTAGTTCGAGCTAGATTTGAATAGATCCATTTGTATTCTGCATTTTTAATATTGTGCGATTATTTTGTTTCAATCAAATCAACTGCAGCATTTTTTAAATTGACTTTTATTAACCATCAAATGATGAATGCAATTAGAAAATGGCTCGAAATTGGCATAACGTTTATGAATGTCTGGAACGAGTGGAAGCGCAAAATCTTGACATTTTTTTATTTGAATTTCGATAAAATGAGTTGAAATGACCACAACTGTCAAAACAATCAATGTCACCCTATTCGATTGACCGTAATTCAATCTACATTAAATAGCAGGAACTAAAATTTCTCCTGGACGCTAAACGGCGAAAAATGCTTTTTCATATAAAAACACATAAGAATGTATGATCTTAAGTGCCATGAAAGAGTTGAATGGATTTGAGTTTGTTTCGATTTTGAAACTTTCGAAGCTATCATAGCGGCTGACAACAAAATGAAATAATTTGATGATAATTTAAATAATTGATCTGCAAATGGACAACGAATGTATGAGTGGGATAGACGAAAATTATTGAACGGTGCTTTATTGTGCCAAGCAAAAGAGCCGACGATTGATTTTGTAGTTCGAAATTCGAACCAACATTTTTCGCATTGTTACATTTTTCTAAAAAGAGTCACTCAAAACCAATACTCTTCATTCGAAAAGTAAA